TACACTGTTCTACAAAGAACTGCTTGAAACCAAAAAGGAAGCTTCTTTAGCTTAAAAAGTTTTCTGAAACCAGACAGGTGCCTGTTTATTCAATAAACGCAAATACATAAGAGAGCTTTTCGGGGGGTGGAAATCAATACTTTTAAAGATAAAACGCATCAAAGTTACTTGTGTCAAGTGCCTAGAGTAAATTAAGTTTACAAGTTCAGCAGGCTGTCATGTAAAAATGTGGCAGTGACAAACAAATCAAATTACCACAGTACTACATCACTCACAAAAGTATTATTGATAGTGACAGAGGGATATTGAATTTAAATTATTCATTTTTATTGATTGAACAGCATGTCTTAAGTAGGAAACAACAAGGAAAAAGCTGAGGTGTTAGACTTGGATTTTGCCTCCCATTGAGTATTATTGCAGAAAAGAATCCGTGTAAATAAAATTGAGTCCTATGAAAAATATCAACCTACTGAAGTTCTCTCTGCATACCTTTCCAGTTCTGTCTCCTTCGTCCATGATCTCCTGAACCTGACATGGCTACCCCGGGCCCAGTGCTTTAATACCCCTTTTTCTTTGAGCTCCCTCCTTATCTTGTTTGCCTGGTACTTTCCTGGCTACTGTCATACCTTATTAAAAACCATGTGTTGAATACATCTTCTGTGCAAGACACTGTGCTGAACATCACAGATAAATAGATGGGTCTGACTTTCAAGGAAGACATAATTTAAGGGAAGGAAAAAGACGTATAAAGAAATACAAAACAAACAACAAAAAATGTTGTACATTTCTCACCCGCTTTTCAAAATCCCCTATCCTAATTTTCTATTAGCCTCATATCTAAGAAGGTTCTTATCCTTCAGGGACTCACAGACCCAATCTGAGAACCTTAAAAGTTATAGACTCTCACCCTAGAGAGAGAAATACAAAAAGAAAATACATATATATGTACATATATAAATTTTTCAAAAAATTTTGTGAGGCTGGAGAGCCCTCAAAGCCTGAACAAAAAGCCCTAGCATTAAAAAGCTCCTGGACTAATGTGTTCTTCGCTGTTACATAGTTAATGTCTTTTTATTATCTAGGGGACATTTTCATTGTTGTGTGGAACGTTTGGAATCTAAACACATTGTGATAAAGAATTAAGTGACGGGGGGATTTTAGAACTCTTGAAGGGCAGACAAGGTGAAAAAGGCATTATCCTCCTCAACAAATTATCTCACACAAGTGGCCTAAATTAAAAGATATGCTGTGTCAGAGTCTTATTCACCAAACAAATTAAAAAAAGAAAACAAAAAAACAACTTTCATCCAAGTTCTCTGTAGCACTTTCAGGCATTTGTCTGTCGCTTCCAAAATCTCCCTAGTTTCATTTTTAATTAAACATAGACAGGAACATTATTCCATCCCCCTTAGAAAAACAACAACCCAATTTACATCCATGCATTTTACAGTCATTCTAGATGCTTTATCTTAATTGTTTCGGGGTCTTTTTTAATTAAAACATGTATAGTTCTTGGTGGAGCTTGAAAATTAGGCAGCTACTATTGGGCTTCAGGCAAAGAATTGTCTCTTCAGCAGAGGGGGAGGAAGCAGCCCCACTTAAATAGTAATACCTGGCGAGCTATACCCACTATGGTTTTTAGCATAAAGCATTGCTACTCAGAGTATGGTTGATGGACCAGCTTGAATGTAATAGTGGCAATTCTGCATTGCCTGAATACATAATCCTGACTTCATCCCAGGCCTACTGAATCAGAATTTGCATTTTAACAAGATACTCTGATGATTTCTCTCATATTAAAGTTTGAGAGGCACTGTCTTAAAAGACAGCATAGTCCATATTGTAGTATTACTGGACTGGCTCTTAGGCCTAAGGGGCTTAGATTAATTAAGCAAATGGGTTTAAAGATTCAGGTGCTCCCACTGGAGTAGTCTCAGCATCTAGAAAAGTTACTGGAGACTACAGAACTGCAGTGAATATTTGTTCATCGATTCATTTAAAAAGTGTTTGTTGAGTATTGAGTGGGTATAGCCCAAAGAGTCAGCATTGAGGTGATTCTTAAGCACACCGAGATTTGAGAATCACTGACTATGAGTTAGGCAATATTAATGAATAGCGATCCAGTCAACAAGTATGTACTGAACGCCTACTACATTTTAGGCTCTCTTTTAGGCACTAGGGATACGGCAGTGAACCAAATTCCTTGTTCTCATGGAGAGTGCGTGCCCACAGGAAGAAGTAGGTATGCTATGAAAAAACTAAAGCTCAGTAAAGGGCTAGTTAGTAATAAGGGTGCTATTTCATAAGCAGGGCTCTATAAAGTATCTTTACAAAGTTGTAATGGAGCGAAGACCTGAAAGAAGTAAAGGCATAAGACATGTAGATATCTGATGAAGATTTTCCAAGGCACAGGGCATAAAATGAGGAAGTGCTTTTTAGTGGAAGCATATCTGATAGGTCAGAAAAGAGAAATGAAGCAAGCACAGCGGTTTAGTTCTGCAACCCCAGCTACTCAGAAAACTGAGGCATGAGGATCTCTGGTTGGAGGCCATCCTAGACAACTTTCCAACAACTTGTCCAAAATTTAAAGAGAGGTTCTGGGCATGTAGCTCAGGGCTAGAGCACTTGCTTAACATGAGCAAGGGCCTGGGTTCAGTTTACAAAAAAAGAAAAGAAGAAGAGAAGGAGAAGGGAAAATGGAAGAGAAGGGAAGTGGAAGAGAAGGGGTGGGGAGGAGAGGACAGAAGAGGAGAGAAGAGGACAGAGCAGGGAAGGGAAGGAAAGGAAAATTAAAAACAAAGCTGGAGTATGGTCATTTTCACAATGTTGGTTCTTCCTATACAAGAGCAAGGAATATTTTTCCATTTACTGATATCCTCTTCGATCTCTTTTCTCAGAGTACTGTAGTTTTCATTGAAGAGATCTTTGACTTCTTTTGTTAGATGGATTCCTAAATATTTCAATTTCTTGGATGTTATTGTGAAAGGTATGGTTTCCCTAATTTCTCTCTCAGTCTGTTTGTTGTTTGTGTATAGGAATGCTATTGATTTTTGGATGTTGACTTTGTATCCAGCTACACTGCTGAATTTGTTGATTAATTCAAGGAGTCTTCTTGTGGAGTTTTTGGGGTCTTCCATGTAAAGTATCATGTCATCTGCAAATAGTGATAGTTTTACTTCTTCCTTTCCTATCCTTATTCCTTTTATTTATCTCTCCTGTCTAATTGCTCTGGGTAGTGGTTCCAGAACTATATTGAGCAGGAGCGGTGACAGCACACATCCTTGTCTTGTTTCCAAATTTAAAGTAAAACATTTCAGTTTTTGTCCATTGAGAATGTTGTTGGCCGTTGGATTGTCATAGAAGGCTTTGATCAGGTTAAGGTAGAGGCCATCTATTCCTATTTTCTGTAGTGTTTTTATCATAAATGAAAGATAAACTGGAGGCCTTTATGGGTAAATGGTCACAACTAGAGACCATACTCATAAGTGAAATACATCAGACCTGCATGTGCAAGCACCGCCTTGTCTCACTAGTGTAAAACCTGAAAGAGTTAATTTAAACTAGGAGGTACGATAGACATTGTGAAATGATAGGAAAACACTCAAGGGTAAAGGGCAACTGGGATATGGGAAAAGAGAAGGGAAAGAAGGAGAAATTTTGTATGTATGTATATACAGGATAGTTAACACAGTTGTTCTACTGTCTTCTGTTTCTTTACTGAAAGAAACTGTCAATCAGTCCTTGATTGATCAATATTGCATGTCTCTATCTGTTTTCATGAGAAATCACTTTGAAGATATCAATATGTAATACAGCAAACATTGTTAATTTCCTACCACTTTGTTTGTAACTCTGTATTGTCTGTACTGTTCTTTTGCTATTTTGTAAAAGGTTGTCTGTCTGTCAATGTTTTCCTCCTTTTATTTTTAAAATAAAAAAAGCAAAGCAGGAGACAAGTAAATCATCAGGAAAGGGACTAGAGAAGTCAGAGAAACAAGTGGAGCACACCTAACCCAAGAGAGTTAAAGACATCATATTACAGTGACACAACACACCCATGTTTATAGCAGCACAACACCTAATAGCTAAGTATCTATGCCCTAATAACTTACCCTTAAATCCATCAACAAATGAATGCATAGAGAGAATGTATTTACACACAGTGGAGTACTACTCTACCATAAAGATAACTTGAGTCATTTGCAGGAGAATGGATGGACCAAGAGACCATACTGTTGAGTGAAATAAATCAGACACACAGCATTCAATATCACATTATTTCTCTTATATGAGGAGCAAAAATTAAAAATAACAGGTAGATAACAAGAAGTAAGGCGATACATCTTTCTCCAGTAGTAAGGGGATCAAGAGCTGGATAGAGCTGGGGGCACACCTGTGATCTCAGTACTAGGGAGGTTGAGGCAAAAGGATCGCCACCAGTTCAAGGCCAGCCTAGACTACATAGTGAGTTCAAAACCAGTGAGAACTATATAGCAAGACCCTTTCTTAAAACAATAGCAAACAAATAAACAAAAACAGTTAGACAGAGAGGAAAGGAGGAGAGGGAAAAGGGATGAAAAAAGGAATTAAGGTATGTTATGCACATGCACTAGCTCCACCCAAGGAATGAAACATTATGTGCTGCAAATCTGTACTAATAAAAAAAATTTTTAAATCCAAAATCTGCTACAGTTCAAAATCCTTTCAGATATGCTCAATGGGTAACGATTATGTAAATATTCCAAAATCCATAAAACTGAAATCTGAAACATTTCTGTTCTCAAGCATTTTGAAGAGGAGCATGAACAGATCTTCTAAAGACTGATTTTTACACTGTGGAAAATAGGGAATCACTACAGGATTTTAAGCAGAGAACACAAAATAGTATGAATAATTTCTTTGAGTGATTTACTCTGGCTGTGAAAAGCAGATTGTAGGGCAAAGCTAGGGTGCTGTGACAAACAGAGCCAACTGTAGGGTAGCTTACACAACAAAGAAGTTTATTTCTCTTTTGCTTAACAGCTCTGATGTGAATTATTCAAATCCACGAAGGTCCATTGCTCATGGTGATTCGTGGACACAGCTTCTTTCCAAGTTGCTCATCCATCACTTAGCTTTGTCAAGGTCTGTAAAGTCAAAGCCAGGTTGTCAAAACATGCATGTTTCAGAACACAGAAAAGGAAGGGTATGGCGGAAGCAAGACCAAATGTCACAAGTCCTTGACTCAGATTTATCACATGCTTACATTCTACAAATGAGAACTTAGTCATGTGACCATACCTACTGCGAGGAGGTATGTAGGCTATGGTACATAGTCTATGCAGACAGCTGTGATTTCTGATATATTTCTTTGGCTATAGAAAAAGAATCAAGTGGGTTTTCATGAACAGCCAGCAAGATCTGCCATTGAAATCTAGGGCAAAAAATGCCAGATGTAGCCACCCAAATGAGACATGATGCGGGCACAGGCCAGGGTGGTGGCAGTAGACATGGGGAGGAAAGGTTAGCGTATGAATATTCTACATTCTGAAATATTTTCTGATAGACTAGATATGAGTGTGAAAGGCTTGAAGAGTTTTAACCTAAATCACTTGAGGACAGGAGATGAACAAATAATTAGATGAAAAATATGTCACCTGAGCTAGACATTTCTCTCTATCTTCATGTCTCTAAACACAGCACCATATCTTAGTGTGACCAAGGCTCAACATCCTCCTCTAAAGCCAGGTTTCAAATTTCAGTACTACTGAGTTCTATGTGTATGGACTTAAGTAAATCATTTCTTTAACTAGGTCTTGGATTATTTGTCCATAAAATAGAAAGACTAATAGCACCAACCTCATAACACTACTTTAAATATTAAGTAAGATAAGGTACAGAAATATATAGTGTAGTGCGGGACCAGCAAGAAATACTAGAAAAAATAGCCAAATAAGCCTGTGAGAATTTCAAATGATAATATACACCTTTGTAAAGCATCTAACTCAATCAGTGACACTTGGAGAAAGTATTTACCTCATGTTTGACTTAGGTTGGAACTCTGAATTCACACATTTTATCTGAGGAACACTGTGCAAATTATGTTGGCTTTTTCAGAGCCTCAGTTTCCTTAATTATAAAAGGAAGATTAATGACAGTATTGACTTCACTGAGCTAACATAGAAAATTAAGTATGTTTGAAGAACATGAAGTGCATAATAATCATCTAATAAATGGTGGTGTATGTGGAGATAGTAGTGATTGGAATGATAATAATCATTATAATTACAGTTTCCAGACAAATCCCTTGCTACCTCCCATGAAAACATTTATCCCATTTCTCCTCAAAGCCCTATCTGTTTGCTTAATCTGTTGAATCACCTTCTATCCCACTGCTGATAGTTTAATGCATTACCCATCTCCTGTTAAATAGCTCATGCACACAAACATGCACGCACACATACACACACACACACACACATAAAATTTTAAAGGGAATAAGAAAGAACAATAGCAAAATATCAAAAACATAGAAAAAAACAAAATAAAGCAAAAACACCTGGAATTAGGGAAAGGAGAAAAAGAAAGAAGGAAGGGAAAACATACATATACTTTGAAAAGGTGCTTGAAATACCACAAAGAATAAAAGTAAAAGGAATGCACCTCAAAGAAAGAGATTTGGAGACTAACTTATTTTGTTACTGCATCTTCTGTAGGCAGATCTTCATCATATCTACATAGAACCAGACCTGACTGGTTGTGACTGGCTCCAAATGTAAAAGAAAACGAGGGACAGGTTTTGCCAAATATTCCAGAAATTGACTATTCATCCAAGTGATTTGAACATATTATTTTGAAATAATAAAGGAACAGAAGCAAACAAGCCTTTGTGATTCCCACCTTCCTCGTTCCCTGCCTCCCTGAATTATAGCCTGCACCCCAAACAGAAACACAAATAAAGGAAGTATCTCTAGATGCCAGGTAAGCTGTGTAAAGAGATCATAATGTTGTCACCACAGGGCCAAGAGTAAGTGCTGTGCTAAATGCAGAGCAAAACCAGTCCAAATCTTTTTTCTTGAGCACATTGGATTTGGCGTGGCTATTTCTGAACAGCCTGCTGACCCATAGTAGTGATAAAATATTTTAGATGTAAGTTGATCTTTTCCAAAGAAGAAAGGTCCTGACTAGTGTACCTGCTTGTAGTGGACTTTTAAAGTTCAGTCAGACACTGATAAAGCCTTTTTTGTAAACGACAAAAAGGCTGTATGATACATTCATCCAAATGAAATTGACAATGCAAAATGCCACCTTATTCCCCAATTTATAATTTTTTACTAGAGTGTTTGTCCTTGATAGTAACTTCCAAAGAATCTAAGTCTGAATCATCTTGGCTATGAAACAGTACAAACCTTCCAATCAAGAAATTATTTTAGCCTAGAAAATGGAACTGTATATGGATCTGATCTGCTTTAAAAGTCAAAGGTAGTAGGCCAGGTGTTAAGCCAATTGAGAAATTAAATACAAACTAGGATCCCCTTCACCACAAGATGGCTGCCCATGTTTCTAATTCCTGACCAGCTTTCCCCATAGTAAATACCAAAATTAATTCCTATAGAGTATGACACATAAAGCATTGGTTAAAAAGTATTACCACCAAAAAAGACAAAAGAAAATATTCATATGTGATTTAAACAGGAAGGAGGCCTGCGTGACTACTTTGGTAGAGCCAGAATATCTGGGAATAAGAACTAGGTCTGACAGAGGCCCCATGTTTCTGGAGTTAAGAGTGAGATAAGAGGTAGAGTAAGTGCTAAAAGAGCAACTTTCTAGGAGTCATCCCTCTGGTCTTTCCCTATATCTAAGTACCCCATGAGTCCTTATTTCATACTAGCTGCTGAAGAGACCTGAATGATAACTAGGTAATATCATCTTGGTATAATATTCATCAGCTTGCCCAATAACTAGAAAAGCAGAGAAATTTAGAGATGGATAAGGAGATAGCAATTTAAGAAAATATAGAAATAGGAGAAAACCCTTACCCCTCACTCCTGATTTTGCTTCCTATGACTAATTTCCTGTTATGGCTTAGACCTAAAAAGTCACCCAAATGTTTTATCTGTTCAGCGGTGGAGCTTTCAGAAGATGATTGGATCATAGGGGCATTATGTACCCATCATTGGATTCATCCATTGATGAGTGTAGACTATGGTGTTACTAGGTGGGGCCCAGTTGGAGGAAGTGGGTCACCACGGGTATGATCTGAAAGAGTACATTCTTCTCCCCAGCTCCTTCCTTCTCTCTCTGCTTCTTGGTTGCCCTGGGTTGAGCAACTTTCCACCGTCATCCTCTTTTCCTATGTCGTTTTTACTTTGGAGCAAGCCAACCATGGAGCAAAACCCCTGAGACCGTCAGCCAAAATAGATAAACTGGGGAATCAAGCACTTTGTCTCAGTGACAGGAAAGTGACATATACACCTCCTTGCTCACTTCTTCCCAGAGAGGTGAGATTTATCTGAGTGGTGAGTCTGGTTAGAAAATATGTCCTATTTGTATTATCTGCTTTATCTCTTCTTGTTCACAGAAGTGAGGCTTTCAATAAAGAGTGTGTGTCCTGCTCTGCTCCTCTGTGCAGAGAATTTCACAGGAACATAAATAACCATGGAGAGAGAAAGCACAATGTAATGGTCTTGTGCTGCCTCTGCTTAGCAAGTAAATCTAACAGGCTTACTTATCCACAGATGTAAATTACATTCGTTTCAGTTTAATTGAGAATAAAAGGGCTATTTTTATTTCCCATCTGCCTTGTTCTTTTTTGGTATATATCTGTTTGTTTAGATTTTAAGGTGTTATTCTTTGGACCTTCTCCAGTTCAAACATCTGATGTGTTGAACCAAGAATATGAAGAAAGAGACAAGAACCAGAATTAGCAGACTAAAATAACAAAGAGAGCCTCTGGGTAGGGCCAGGACGCATGGCTGTAGAACTTGGACTTCAGTGGTTACATTAGATATTGTGAATCTGGTGGCCTATAGAGATTATCATTAGGCCAAGAGTCTACTTTATATCATTAAGCAAGTGACTTTTCGATGTATAAGGCCAAAAGTAATTCCTTGGTGAGAAATGTCTCCAAATTAAATATAAATTCACAGATCATGAACTCCAGATATTTGGGTAGAGTGGCATATTTGGCAGGGCTTAAACCAAGATTTCTTACCTCTGTCATTTTTCCTTCCCATAATATTGGGCTTCTGTCAAATTTGTAGCAATTCTGAGTACAAGATATACATTCTTACCTGCTGTAACTTCCCTAGGGCCTACAGATTGACCTGTGTATTAGTTTTATGTTTCTGCATAATGAATGATCCCCAAACTTAGTGGCTCAAAATGGAAATGCTTATTATCTCATAATCACTGTGGAGCAGGAATCTCATACAGCTCATCAGGATCCCTGTCTCACAAAATTTCACAGGCTCTAATCAAGGTCTCAGCCAGGACTTCAGTCATCTCTGGGTTCAGCTGGGGGAGTTTCTGCTTCCAAGATCACTCAAGCTCCTTCCAATCTCACTGGTGGCAGAATTTGGTTCCTTAAAGACTGTTAAACTGAGGTATTTATTCTTTATTGGCAATTTCCTTGCTGTATAGGTCTCTCAATAGAGCAGGTTACAACACAGCACAAAACAGCTGGCTTGTTTAGCACACCCAAGCAAGAAGAACCAGAGAAGTAAAGAAAGCTATACAGATAGAAGTCATAGTCTTTTTTTTTGGTACCATGAATCGAACTCAGGACCTTGCGCTTACCAGGCAGGAACTTGTGCTGCTGAGCTATATCCCCGGCCCTTTGAGCTATATCACTGGCTGAAAGTCATAGTCTTTTATAAACCAATGTGGAAATGACATATTCTATATTCTATTTATTAAAAGCCATATTCTACTTATTAAAAGCAATATATTTGGGGATTATTAGACAAGAGAAAGGGAATAGTGAGGTATAACAGAGAAAAATATAGGGGTGGATATAATCAAAATGTGCTATATGCATTATGAAAATGCCATAGTGAAATAATATTTCGCAAAAAGCAATATATATATACATATATATATATATATATATATATATACACATATATGGAGAGAGACAGAGAGACAG